CTCTCTCTCTCTCTCTCTCCCTCTCTCTCCCTCTCCCTCTCTCTCCCTCCCTCTCTCTCTCAGGTATGGCACCAGTTGTGAACATGACCAGTATGGGCTTGGACACACTGGAGGAAGAAGAGGAGAAGGCCAGGTTCTTTGCCCAGCTTGAGGTGGGAGCTTTGTCAACTATAAATTACTCCAAGCTGAACAGAGACCTGGACTCAACAGGTTCTACCATCGCCACTGACCTCAGGTATGCAGACAGCCAAACAGTTTTATACCCCTCCTGCAGTTAAGAAGTGTAGAAGTACTCTAGAGCAGATCAGTCATTAGGGGTCTGGGACCTGTTGATGCCAGACTTGGAAATATCTCCATGTGTCCATGGATTAGTAAAATCCCAGCTGTGGAATTCAGTCTAATCAATGTGTAAAAGCTGTTATAGCAAGTAAAAAGCCATTTTATGTGCTGGATATCTGGTTTGCACCAACATCTCCAGCACCAACACATACACACAGAACAATTCTGCGCCTACGGCCCCTCCGACCACCACCATGTTTGTTATATACGGAATGTAAAGGACATATCCTGGTCAAAAGTAATCCCGAGGTTCTTTACTGTGGAATTAGAGGCTAAGGCGATGCCATCCAGACTAACTGTCTGGTCAGATAGTGAGTTTCTGAGGTGTTTAGGGCCAAATACAATAACCTCAGTTTTGTCTGAATTTAAATAAAGGAAGTTACAGGTCATCCAGACCTTAATGTCCTTCAGACATGCCTGGAGTTTGAGTAACTGACTGGTTTCATTTGGCTTCATAGATAAATATAACTGGGTGTTGTCTGCATAACAATGGAAATGTATGCAGTGCTTCCTAATAATGTTGCCTAACAGAAGCATGTACAGAGTAAATAATACTGATCCTAACACAGAACCCTGTGGAACTCCATAAGTAACTCTGGTACAGCTGGAAGAACCATCATTAACATGAACAAACTGGAATCTGTGTGTCTTACACATACAGTATTGTAACACTACTCACTGCCTCGCATGTGGAAACAAACCAGCACTCTGATGAACATACAGGTGACTGGGTCAACTGGCAAGCATTCTCCAATGCAGATCCCTAATGAAGTTAGCAAAGTGGCTGTTCAGACATCTAGTTTCTCAGTTTACTTTCAGTCAGAATGAAAACAAACATTTAAAATGATTTATACCAAAATGATTCTTTTGGAAAACAGTAGGGACTTAGGGGAAGTTGCTCAAATATACTTTGGTCTGTGCTCTTCCTTGGTTCCCCAACTCTCGATGGTGGAGGTGGAGCACACAATGTTACCATGGCCTATAGTGCCAAGATAGCCACACTAGTGGGAAGTAAATAAGAAAATTATTTTCCTTGAATGTTGTGCTAGTTAGGGCTTTGTTACTCCTCTCGAAGGTACTTGTCATCCACTTGTGTGTTCAGATTTTCTGAGTATTTTCTTTTACCATAACCCTTGTACTGTACATTGTACAGTGCTTGACTGGATGGGGGGTTTGGCCACATGCAAAAACATTCTTAAACTCCTATGCTAAAATTGTACTCCCACTTTCTCTCTTTCTCTCTTTCTTGTCTTTCCACACCACTCTCTCTCACTTGACACCTGCCACCATGCAGCTCCTCCTGTTAATGTCCTGTCATATTTAAATGAAGTCGTGAGGAATATTAACGTGAAACTTGTGTGTCTGAAAGAAACAAAGCTGTCACTTTTAGTGGCTTTTCAGAACTAGCAATGTTACACATTCTATTCTGTGAAGGTCCACTTTGATTTTCCTGATTTTTTTCAGTTTGTTAGAAAATGCTTTCTGTAATTTGATGATGGCTTTTACTCATCATAAGTAGAGTTAAGGAATTTTTGTAAAATGTTTTTTTTCCTGTCTTCCTGCTGTGATAATAATTCTGTGTGAATTGGGCTTAGGAATAAAATGGATGTATTGTTTATGGGGTCAGTGTCTTTGCTGCTGCTGCTACTGTGCTCTTAAAGCTCAGGGTTGTGACTTCAGTTTAATGACAACCCACTACCCCACCTCACCCCACAGGAAAGCAGAGGAAGTGATGGAGCAGAGTGATGGTCAAAGCAAGGTCAGAGTCCCAGAGACCATCAGGGAGTCTCCAGGTAAGGATGATACACTCTGAGCAAATGTTGCTGTGTCTCTCTGTGTCTCAATCAGGTCTGTTCTCTCAGCCTTCACAGGCTCCCCACACTACAGTGAAGATTTCGAAGATGAGGAGAATATGAAAGAGCCACTGGAGGAGGTTTGTAGTTGAATCTATAACTGTTGAACTCATGAAGTATTCTTAGATAAGTTAGGGCCTTAGTTATTGAAACAGTCGTCAAAATCTGAGTGTAAAAGATCACATATGACCATGTGACAACATCATTTCAATTACTTTAGTAATTTTCAAATTTGGAACTTCAGTCAGGTGATAACTTCGGAGCAGTTTGTAATCCCATGTGTTCAAGGCTTTTTGCTTGCAAGTATGAAAACTGGTTGGTGGCCTTTCATTTAAGATTGCCACTATGATTAGTATTTTAAATGAGTTGACATACACTATATTTTGAATTGGTTTTCCAAAAAAATAGCTTTCTCAGTGTTATTGTTGTATAACAGTACAGTAGTATAGTAGTGTAGTGTTGTATAGTGAGGGTGTCTCCCACAATTTCTTCTTCTGAAATTCAGGTTATCTGATGCAGCAATCCATCACTCTCCTTCTTGGTCAAACACCCTTTACAAAGCCTTGAGTAGTGTTTTGGCTCATTGCTCAAAACTAATTTCCTTGCTCAAAACAAACTCTTGGAGATTTTATTGTTATGCCCAATGGACACCTCTCTGCTGCGGTGACAACCACTTTCCAAGAGTCATGAAGTTGCTGGCTCTCAACTCTAATTAGACAGTTGATACACCAGAGTAGAGAGTATAGACCTAAATATGATTAGGTGATGATTGCATTACAGCATCAAAGCCTTTTACTCTAAATGGATGAAACTGTTTGTCAGACAGGTCAAGGTTCCTGAAAGCAGGCTAATGTGTTGGAAGTCAATTTGTTTATTTATTTATTTAAACTTTATTTTACCAGGTAAGTTAATTGAGAACTGGTTCTCATTTTCAATAACAACCTGGTCAAGAGGCAGCATTGATTGTTAGACTGCAGCATGCTGGATAGTGCCACAATGCTGGCTTGCAGAGCTAAGGTCATCTTTATAATACATGATGACATTCTCTAAACTTTATCTTTGATTATTTTAAATGATCACAAACTGACATCTTGCCACACGGTGTACTAATTTATGTTGTTGTCTGTCTGTTGTTTCAGAAGTGTAAAATGTCTGCAATTCTTGCCAGAGGTAAGAAAAGCATTTCACTGAGATCATGGGCACATGTGTCACTCAACAACAATGTGAAATAGAGTTTGATAGTTCACACAGTCTTAAAAGCCATATACCATTAAATGCTAAGGCATTAATAAGACTCTTAGCAACAATGTACTATATCTGTATCTCATTCAAATGTGTCTCTAGTATAAGTTCACATTAAAGTCTAGATAGTTGTTTATGCCACTCTAACTTAACGTTTGTCTCAGTTTCTCTCTATGATTCTTTGGATGATGATGGTGGTTACAAAAAAAAAGACACAGAAGGATCACTAGACAAAGGTAACTAACACACAAGAAGAGTGTCATCCATCCATCCATTATCTATGCACCGCTTAATCCTCACTAGGGTCGCGGGGCCGGGCTGGAGCCTATCCCAACCAACTTAGGGCAAAGGCAGGGGACACCCTGGACAGGTCGCCAGTCTATCACAGGGCTACACTTAGAGACAGACAACCAAGCACACTCACATTCACACCTACGGACAATTTAGAATCACCAATTAACCATGATTTTGGACTGTGTTGGGAGGAAGCCAGAGAACCCGGAGAGAACCCACGCTGCACGGGGAGAACATGGAGCCGGTACCCTCACCGGAACGCAAACCGACAACCTTCTTGCTGCGAGACAACAGTGCTACCAACTGTGCCACCTTGCAGCCCGAGTGTCATCCAATAACATAAAAAATGGAACCAAACAACTACCAGACAATATAATGTATTGTAATCTTAACATAAACAGGATTACTTTGTTGCAACAAATTATTTATTTATTTATTTTGTTTTAAATAATAAAAATGTCCAATGTACAGAGAAGAAACTTTAATGTTTGGCATCCATGTTTTTTAATGCTTGGTGACAACAGTTTCTAGTCATACATGAGAGCTGAAAAAGTTTTTGTCCAAATTGAAAAAAGTGTTGTTCATAGCGTTTAACACGTAACACAACAGTTTCCAGCATTTTGCATGTAGTTAAGTTTCCTCTACAAAATGACTGTGGTGAAGTTTATTGAAAGCCTCCTGATCTGGTAAAATACTTAAAAGGTAAAGATATCATTGTATTACATTTTTAGCTGAGGATACAAACATTATCAATGTTTTAGTTGCAACAAGTGTATGTTTATGACATTTGATGTTGCGAGTTGGTAGCGTATTCAATGACAAGAAAAAATATTTGAAGACTTTAGAGTTACCAGGTTTTCAGAATTAGTTGGTGAGAAACTGTGATATGATGTTCATATGAGTCACAGGTATGGACAAACAAAATGTGCTCAAACCAATACCACAAAAATTACATTAAATTCTTGTCAAACTGTTCAGCAAAGCAGCTCAGAACCATGATGCGCCGTCCACTGTACCACACCTTTAGTTGATGTTTTCATGTTAGTAGGCTGTGCCTTTTTTCAATTCGGTTTATTCTCAGTCCTGGGAGCTTAAATACAAATCAAATAGACTTGTCTAAAGGGAGACTAACAATAGCTACAAAAACACATGGCTCAACACAGGAGAGCCAGATCCTCAGGATGAGACAGGGCAGTCCACCTGCATCTGAAGGATAATGGGCACTCCTTTGAGGACAGCAGTGTCCACTTTCTGGACAGAGATAACAGATGGTTTGAGAGAAGGGTGAAGGAATTCATCTATGTGTAAATGTGGACTGATGAAATTCTAAAATGTCTGAGATGACTTGATAACCCTTTCTGGTTCCAAGTTTTCTGTCATTTTATTATAGGCTTGGCTCATATCAGCAGATGGATCTTGTAAATGGCAAACTCAAAATGAAAATAGCTCTATTAAACACCACCAATCTCCTCCTTACTGCAGTTAGCTTTTGTTGATGCCATTAGCCTAGGAGTTCAAAGACCATTTCCAACCTACACTGGCAATGTCTGAGTCATGTATACAATAGTTAAAATATATTGTGTTTGTTCATAATTGTAACTTAAACGAAGATCTGACTAGATTTTCCACTCAATATAAAGCATTTTAAGCACAGGGCTTCATCATAATCTAAACTCTGGTTTTGTGTAAGCAAAACACATAATGGGTGGTGATCATATAGAGTAGGTAAACCTAGTGATCAGAAGGACATATGTTGAATAAATCCCTAATTGATTGTAGCTTCCTCATAAGATCATTTAAGTTTCATCCTGCACTGTAGTTTGATACAGAGCACACAAAATCTTTTTTGTGTACAGGCCACTCATATGTGCAAAGTGGAGGCTCTGAGATGGAGGCGCTTCAGGAGGCCTACAGACAGGTCCATGTTGTGGAGGTTTCAGATGACTATAATCACCAATATTCATCTGTGGAAGGGGAGGGAATCAACAGACCTGTGTCTCCATCCTCCCCTCCTCAACATGCCCGACTGTCTCTTCAGCCTGCTTCTACCAATGAGTCAGGTCAGACACTACCCTGCTGCTATAACAGTGCTCTTACTGTTTGTTCAACACTGCTACTGGTGAACAAATTCTGTCAATCTGTATATTGTACTGGTCTACAAAACCTGAATCCCACAGACCTCTGCGAAATGCAGCCTCTTTTTCTGAAATTTGGAACGCAGCCAGTGTATCCTTGACACCTGTCACAATACCATATTACATCATGCTCTGATAAATTCAGTGATAAGTTCAGACAGTCTAAATCGACGCCTGAAGACTTCAGTCCTGCTGGCACACACTTTGTACTTGTTATCAACATCGACTTTTTTCACGACTACATTTAGGTTGCTACAAGCAGTTGCAACATTACGACTACTGCTGTTGGAGCACTGTCTTTTTGGTGAGAACGCACAACTTTGGCATATTAATATATTATAACCTAAAGTCACATCTTTTCACAGAGCCCACCTCTGTCACAGGTCTAACACAAAAGCCCCTTTTGGACATGCACTTCATTCCCTTAATTCAATTCAATTCAATTTCATTTGTATAACGCAGTTCACAACATATGTCATCACACAGTGCTTAACATGGTAAGCTGTCGACCTTACAAATTAAAACAGAAAACCCAACAATCCAAAGTAGGCTTTGGACTCCCTCTGAGCAAGCGGTTGGCAATGGTGGGAAAGAACTGAACCCACCAGCAGGTTTGAACCAGAACCTTCTCACTGTGGGGCAACAGTGCTAACTTCTAATCTATGTTTATTTTTTCATTTTTATTTTGTGTGTGTAATTAGAGCTACCGACTGCAGAAGAACTAATGAGGCCCATCCGACCAGAGAAGGACCAAATTAGAGGCTTCACTCTCCAACCTGTCAGGTTAGCACTGTCATTCTTGGAATTATCCAAAGGAAAGACAAAATGGCAACAGACTACTGAGCTGATTGTTCACGTTTGTCTCACTCACATGAATTCAGCATTACTTAGGATGACCAAAAACATTACCTTTAAGTTCAAGATGTTAACCCTGTTGCAGCAAAACAGAACATGTAATAATGGGTGAGGCATAGATGGTAAAGTGTGTGTATAAGTAACACTTAGTGCAGAGATCAGTAGGGTACTACTGGACTAATATGTCTACATAAACAAGACCATTTTATTATTACCTACAACTGAAAGTATAGTTGCTGCTTGATATGTGTCAGCATTATTTGGTAGGATTGGCAGACATTGAACCGTCAATGTATATTCTGTTTACATTTAATTAGCAAAGTCAAGTCAAATCAATTTTATTTGTATAGTGCAGTTTACAAAATATGTCATCACACAGCGCTTAACATGGTAAGCTATAGACCTTACAAATTTAAACAGAGAACCCAACAATCCAAAATTGCCTTAGGACTCCCTCTGAACAAGCGGTCAGCAACAGTAGGAAGGAAGCAAGCAATAGAACAGAGCAATAAGTATGAATATAAATATTTTGGGAGTCGGTTAGGCCAGCGGCTGCAGATCAGAGACGTGAAGCTCCTGATCCAGAGACGTCTGCAGGGAGAACAAGCACAGGACCTCAGGGGAAACACAGAGTTAGTGACATGTAATGGTGGTTACAACTGTATGGAAGGAAGAGAGAGGAGAGGAGAGGAGCTCAGTACATCATTAGAATCCCCCGGCAGTCTAAAGCTATAGCAGCATAACTGAGAGACAGTTCAGGTGATCCTGAGCAGCCCTAACTATAAGCTTTATCAAAGAGGAAAGTTTTAATCCTAACCTTAAAAATAGAGAAGGTGTCTGCCTCACGGACCCAAACTGAGAGCTGATTCCATAAGACTGGAGCCTGATAACTGAAGGCTCCGTCTCCCATTCTACTTCTGGAAACTTTGGGAACCACAAGTAGACCTGCAGTCTGAGAGCGAAGGGCTCTGTTAGGATGATACGACACAATAAGGTTTTTAAGGTAAAATGGAGCTGGTCATTAAAAGTTTTCTATGTTAGAAGCAGGATTATAAATTCTATCCTGGATTTTACAGGAAGCCAATGAAGAGAAACTAATACAGGAGAAAAATGATCTCTCTTACTGGTTCCTGTCAGAACCATGTCTGCAGCATTTTGGATCAGGAAGGTTTTTGAGAAAGTTATTGGGACATCCTGATAAGCAATTACAATAGTCCAGTCTAGAAGTTATAAATGCATGGACTAGTTTCTCAGCATCACTCTGAGACAGGATATTCCTGATTTTTTCAATTACGTAGATGAAAGAAGGCTGTCCTACAAACTTGTTTTATATGGCTATTGAATGACATGTTCTGGTCAGAAATAACTCCAAGGTTCTTTAAAGTAGAACTGGAGGCCAAGGCAATGCCATCTAGAGTAGCTATCTTGTGAAAGGTACTTAAAGGTATCATTTTCCTGTAAAAAGCTATTTGATGAATTGAAGTTACCACATTGGGGCAAATGTCCATGCTAACCATGACGTCTGTGGGCAGTGACATGGGATTTCCCTGTTTTCGCTATTATTTTCTGTACAGAAAGGATTTGTTTCGCATTTAAACATTGAGGGAACTTTCTAGCATCTAGCAAATAAAAAAGTACACATTTCTTCATTGCCAAACTTTGATTTAGAACAGCAACACAACATTTTTTAAAAGTTTAAAAGTTTTACTGTTATTTTCATTCTACATTGTCTGATTGCAGTGCTGTGGAGTTCAGCCAAGAAAAGGAATCCTGCTTCCTGGATAGGACAGATGTGTCTTATACAGAATCACAACTGAAGAAACCAAGAAAGTCTGTCCAAGTTTCAGGGGTAAAGGGAGCTGGGGGATATGCTAGCCATCAGTCCAGCTCCCCAGATCCTCCCAAGCATGACCTAACATGGAGTATTAAGGAGGAAGTAGAGAGGCTGATGCAGGATCAAAACAATTCTTCTTCTTACGCAACCTCTCGTGCTGGTAAAGTTAAGAAACAACGGGTAAGGCATACCATACAGTATATAAGGAACAACTTTTAAAAAGATACATGTCACAGATGACTTGAAAAAGCCTATCCAGAGTTTAAGGTAAATAGAGAAAATGATATAAAAGGTAACTGTGTATATTAAATGGGCTAATTGTGTATTATGAAAATCATGAAAAGTCACAAAATTACATAACCATGACTAATAATGCACACTTTCCCACCAGGTCTCCCATGGTTCCACTGTTTGTCAACCCTCTACATCTTCAGTGGGGAAACCCACTGCAGCTCCTGTGAGAGGCAAGGGAATAGATGGGAGGACAGCAGTCAATCCCAGGCTGATGGGCATGAGTAGAGCTACTACTACAGCCAAAGCCCATAGCTCTGTTTCCCGTTTCCCACAGCACACACAAAGAGCCAAATCCACTAAGAGCCAAGAAAAAGGTGACCACAATTCTGCAGGTAATTGGCGGCTCAGACACACACAAACAAACAGTTATAGCAAGTCAGCAAACTGCCTGCATTATCAAAGAAAAAATGTCTGTGTCTCTCATGACACTTATAAATTGTAAAACGGTCCACATTTAAAAGGAATATACATTTGTTCGATTACATATTGGATGTTATTAAGGACTAGCAACAATGTGTCATATTGTTATGAACTTGAGTTTGCAGTATTTCTGAATAAATTTGTATTTATGCTAAAACATGTTGTGTCGGTTTTGGAGCAGTGTGGTTGATCTATAGCTACTGAATATCTTCGATGTTTGATCAGCAGAGTCAAGTCTGAAGGTGAGCAGTGAGCTGGTGGCATCTGTTCAGTCCTTAGTGGCCGTCCTCCAACAACAGATAGACACCAGCAGTCACCAGGAAGTCAGAGGTCTTCAAGAAACCCGAGTAACACAGCACTTTCCACAGACGAATGTAAGGAAATCCTTCATCTCATCTCCTGATGTCTGTTTTTCTAAACTCCACAAAAAGATTTTCAGTTTGATTTTCAGTTTGATTTTAAAGGCTAAATGCACGATACAATGCTATACTAAGACTAACTAGTGGTCTAACGATTAGCCCAAGTAGCTCTAGAACAGTTCACTTTCTCAACCTCTGATGAAATAAAATGAACAAGTGAGAATAGAGTTGCAAATAGGTGGGAGGTTTATTTAAATAATGGCAATGCAAAGAGAGACATCAAGTCTTAGATTTTGCACTGAGAATAAAATTACATGCTCCCTGTGTGGTGAAACTGTGAATTAAGCCCTTTAATTAATCACTCCAGCCAGTAGATACCTTAAATCGACAACAAAGATTAATGATAAATGTGTGACAAAGAATAGCCTTTAAAAATATGAGTGATTCTAATAGAATCTGTGGTCCACCCTTGTTTTAGACTGTATGAAAAATGTTTCCCTCAGTGTAATAAATACCTGCAGCATCTGAGGGCAGCAGGACAAATATGTTATTAAATCTATGGCCTCCGATTGGAGAAGTGCTGAATCAGAATAGAGTATACATGCATTATACACAGCCATTCACTGTGTTTACGATGATTAAATTTACCTGCAAAGGAAATCAGGCTACTATAGAATATCAGCATATACCTATGTACACTTTTGGTTGGTTTTAGCTCAATATTGTGCTTTTTATGTGGAGATATAGAATTTCAGTGCCTCATCAGTTACGTGTGTCGCCACCTTATTTTTGTCAGCTTTGTTTGTTAACAAAAGTAGCTTGTAATGCTGCATTTTTGAAACATAGCCTTGAGCAATAAAATAATATTAATGATGACAGTGCACTGGCGATTGACACTTTATGTTCGATAGTTTCACTTAAATACATTAGATGTAAACTGCCATTACAGTACATGAAAAAAAAATGTTCAATTGCTTGAATAAACCTCAAGCATGCTCCACTCCTTGCAATGGAGCCCCTTAGCGTCCCCATGACTATCATGCAAATCTCCCAGGACTCACTAATCTGTGGCTACCTGGGAGACTTGACACCACCGTCCACACCCACAGGATTCCCCTGGTGGAGGCTGCAGGTTGCCTTTTAGAGACCAACTTTTCGTTCCACATACACCCACAACCATACCGTTCCCCACAACCTCCCTCCTCCCCAACCGCCCTCCCGGCGGCCTGCTCTGACATACTTGATGTCAAGGTATACGTAGAGAGAGGTCAGTGTGGGCTACCAGTCAGGTGAAACCCGGGCCTGGCCAGCCACTTACCCTCCCCATGGTACTGTAGCTTCACCCTAGTTGCCACCCATGCACCTCTGGGTTGTACGCACCTTCCTTATTTAATTTTTGTCAAGGTTGAGATCATTTTTTTTTATCCTTACTGATTTGTATTTACGTGTGTTTATTCATTTATTTAAATTAACAAATGCATTAGACCACCACCCAATGTAAGGTTATTGCCACAGCTGCCTGAAATTAACAACATTGGTAATTACCAAAATCATTTTTTATGTTTCTGTAATGGTTAATTCACCAGTATGGAGAAGCTCTTTAACCAAAATGATGGAATTTTAATGCTAAAATATAATTATTATTTTTATCCTTGAATTTTCAAATGTACTGTTTTACAAAAAACTAGAAAAAATAGTAAAGAACGTTATTATTTCTTGATTAGGATATCAAATTGTTAGTTACTTGCATTCCTGAACAAAATTTTTTTTTAATGGTTGAGTGTTATGCTTGATTCATTTCTGACTTCTCAGAGAAGCCAAGTGACCTGCCTCAAACTTGGGTATAAAAAAAGTGAACTCAGTTTGAAATTCCTCATTCCTTTTCAAAATTTCAAACGTCAAGAGCTGAGTACACATTAAAGCACTTTATGATGCTGGATGGTCTACATATATACAGTGCTTAACAAGTGAGACAGGTGGTCTAGTAAATTTGTTAAGCACTGTGTGTGAGGCCCTGCTCGTATATATAGGCACCTGTCATTACAGTCATCCCTCACTTCTGCTCTTCACTGAGCACAGCTGTGCAGCAGGGCAACCAGATGTTGTACCTTCTTTCTGTCCTTCAGGAAACAGAAGTTAGACAAGACATGTTGTTCTCTTTTAGCCTATTCACTCAGTACAACACATACAGTATTGGACATCTATTCACGTCCAACAGAGCAGCCACCAAACTAGAGTCTAACCTGCAGCACTCTAGTGTGTGGTAGACCCAGCAGAAAGGACAGACTGGGCCACCGTAGGGGCTGTCACTTCAAAATGATAAAACTGACCAAAGGTGTGCAAAGATGACAATCTAGCTACAGCACAGATGTCACTTACAGATACTCCTTCAACAGAGCCCATGATGTTGCCATGCCTCTGGTGGTAAGGATGAGTATCACTAAGATTTTATTAGCACTGCTGCTCTTACTGATGCTGCTTAACAAGCCGGTACTTTAGCAGTACTCTTGTTTTGTGATTTTGTTTTTTAAGATAAAAGATATATAAAAAATTAATAACAATCACTTGAGCAATATTTTGAACAAACCACTTAGAGGCTGAAAATGAAGTAACACAGAGTTTGTCTACAGCTTCTTCCCCTGCTGCTCTTCGTGCTCAGGAAGTGAGACTGAATTTCTGGTTGACAGTTCAGATGATGCTCTTAACAATGCAGACTGAAGTTATGAACACAGCCACAGCTAAACAATCACAACAATAATTTAAGTAACTTTGCATATTGGCTCAAAGCTGCTAGCATACATAGATACCTGGGTTAACACGGGATAAATTATTAGTTAGACTGTCGAAAACTGTGTGCTTGTCTGCCTGTATATCATGAGCTTTGGCTAGATGCTTTTTTCACCTCCAAAACAGGGACTACTCATTTTGCTACCGTATTTTAAATTCTGTGTGTATTTTCTCCCTCAGTAGCACTGCAGCCTTGTTCTCTACGAAAATGTTTTCTTCCGACGGGAAGCAAGGAGGCCAAAATTGTGGGTAGTAACTGCTAGTATGCTGCTAGTCGACTGTAGGTTTGCTGGCTAGGAACAGCATCACCTGATAGTGTTCATTTATTTGGATTGCAGTTTATTGAACATAGAGTGCACTCTTGGGTTAGATTTTTTATTTTTTTTTTGCAATATATAAACATTTTTGTTCATGCAAAGAACTAAAGACATCTTTCTTGGGGCACTGCAAAAAGGTCAAATGCTGTGATTTATTTAGGTCACCTAAGTAGGGCTGGACCCAAATAGTGGACTATTTGTTCGATGTGCTGGAGTTGGGATATCAAACTTGATCTCCGAACGGGAGGGTGTCCCGTTTGGGGACCTCAGGATTGCATCTCTGCTTTTTGCAGATGACATAGTACTGCTGGCTTCATCAGACCGTGACCTTCAGCACGCACTGGAGTGGTTTGCAGCCGACTGCAAAGTGGCAGGGATGTGGATGAGTACCTTCAAGCCCGAGGCCATGGTCCTCTTCCGGAAACCGGTGGATTGCCGCCTCCGGGTGGGGGGCGGCAGTTGCTTCCTCAAGCGAGGGAGTTTAAGCATCTTGGGATCTTGTTCACGAGTGAGCGCGAGGTGGACAGGTAGCTCAGTGCGGCATCAGCAGTAATGCAGGAGCTATACCGGACCGTGGTGGTGAAGAGAGAGCTGAGCCGCAAGGCAATTTACCAGTCCATCTATGTGCCAACCCTCACCTATGGTCACAAGATTTGGGTTATGACTGAAAGAGTGAGATTGCGGATACAAGCAGCCGAAATGAGCTTCCTCCGCAGGGTGGCTGGGCTCAGCCTTAGAGATAGGGTGAGGAGCTCGGACATCCGGAGGGAGCTCGGAGTAGAGCCGCTGCTCCTTCATGTCGACAGGAGCCAGTTGTGGTGGTATGGACATCTGATTCGGATGCCTCTGGAGAGGCTTCCTCTGGAGGTCTTCTGAACACGTCCACCTGGGAGAAGATCCCGGGGTAGACCCGGAACCCGCTGGAGGGATTATATCTCTCAGCTGGCCTGGGAACGCCTTGGGACCCCTTCAGGAAGAGCTGGAAAGTGTCATCAGGGGGAGGGAAGTCTGGAATGACCTGCTCCGCCTGCCCCTGCGACTCAACCCCGAATAAACGGGAGAAAATGGATGGAAAAAATGGATAAATAAAAAATATGAAATGTAACCATTTTGCAGCTTTAGCACATGCTTGTCTTTGTGCTAGCTTTGGTGATCAAAAACCTAAAAACCCAGTTTGCGAAAGCCATTTGAATCTGGTGTTGTCTTTACTTTCAGAGGGATGAGCACAGCTCTGTGGTGGAGGAGTTGGGAGTCCAGCTGGCACAGAAAGAGAAAGAGCTACAAATGATGAAGAAAGGTGCAGAAGAGCTCAACTCGCTTAGACAGCAGAACTATCTCCTGCAAAGCAAGGTACAAATAGACAAGCTTCTAAAAAAAGGATCCATTCTTTTCCTATTTTACTTGAAAAAGATTCACTACAGTCATTCAGTCAGTGTATACTACACTGTGTGTGGTTTAGAGTGGAGCTGCAGACTTTTAGTGTGCTATTGTACCAACTTGAGTTTTGCAAAACCCTTTTTCCTAGCAGTCCATTTTTTTAATGTAAATACAATCCCAGACACTTTTTTTCAATTTCATAACTGTTCATCAAAATAATATATATTTGATGTTTTTCTTCCAATATGGGGCTCCAGACTAACTTTTCCACTGGTAGCACTGGTGCTACCAACTTTCTTTGGTTGGTCAGTTGGTTGCACAAGCAAATTTGTGCGATCAAAAATTTGTGGGAAACCAGTGAAAAGGGCACTCTAATGTCAGATTTTCCCAAGTTGAAGCCAAGTAATTTTATCGACATGCGCTGTTTTCTATTAGCAGAGTTTTCTATGATCGACTTTACTATAGGCAGACCGCATTTTAAATGTCAGTAGTCAGTCTGTAGCCAGATTAAATGAAAATTGAGCTATTTGGTCACAATGACCAGAAATATATTTGCAGGAGAGAAGATGAAGTCTTTAATCCTAAAAACAGCATACCTACTGTCAAGCATGGTAGCTGTAGTATTGTGCTTTGGGGCAGTGATACTGCAGGTGGAACTGATGCTTTACATAAAGCAAATGGAATAATGGAGGAGGAGAAGCACCTCCCCCTTTTTTTAGGAATACGTAAAGTCATCAGCTAGAAGGTTGGGTCGCAGTTGGTTGTTCCAACAAGAAAATGACCCCAAACACGCATTAGAAGTGGTAAAGAAATGACTAAATCAGTTTACAAGTAGCCTACCCAAAGTCCCAACTTAAAGCTCATCAAGAATCTGTGGACTGTGCTGAAGAAACAAGTTAGTCAGAAAACCAATGTATTTGTTTGAACTGCAACAATTCTGTCTAGAGAAGTGGTCAAAGACACAATCAGGAAATTGCCAGAAGCTTGTGGATGACTAACAAATTGATACCAATTACGGTGAAAAAGTGCAAGGGACAGATTTTGTCATATGACTAGAAGGCCTGTAATCTATGAAAGAGCCACAATGCTTGGTTGTTTTGTGACAAAGACACGGTTCAATGATTTAATCAAAAATTCTAAGAGTTGAATGAGTCATTGGAAACTCTAGACTGTGGGGGCATTATTGTAGCAAAACTATTTGTGTGTGAGAGTTGTCTGTCTGTATCACAATCCGTTCGTCCGAAGTGAGATTTGTCGGCGTGTAACAGAGTTGTCAATGCGAAAAGGGAATCTACAAAAGTCGTCTCACAATTTGTCTGTCTGTAATCAGGTTTTGAAATGTGTAAAAATTCTGCTCACCTGTATTAAAATTTGGACATGTAATAAGAGTTGTCAATGCGTACAGAGGTGTTCGTAGTTGAAAAGTCTACGTATTTGAATACAAATGCTAAAAACACAGACAAGTCACTAGTTGCAGATTCTGTGAGAGAATCTGGAACTGAAGAGTATCTGAGCAGCACAGAGCAGCAGAGCAGTAGCAGCCACAATCAATGATCCTGTGAGCCTGAGCTCAGGACACAGGAACCAGTTTTAGATTCTCTCACAGTAGAAGTGCAGCAAAAGCTATGTGTGAAAAGACAGCCAATAGTGAAACCGCTCGACTCTTAACTGGTGATTTGTCTGTATTTTTTAACACTTATTCGAATACATAGACTTTTCAACTACGAATACCTCTGTACGCATTGACAACTCTTTGTACGCATTGATAACC